TTATTTATCTTATTAATTTTTGTTTTACCTATGTCATAGGTCGGTTCTTGTGATGTGGATGGTAGAACACCTCTTCACTGGGCTGCATATCAGGTACAATGTGGAAACATATTGATGTAATTGTTTGCAAAGGGTGAATGGGTTACCAGACCAGCAGACTGGGCCTTCAAAAAATCTCAGATTGTTTTTAAAATTAAGGCATCCTCCAGTCACTGGGAGGTGCAGAAAAGGTGCATTAGGCAATTTAGGGTTGGTTCACTGTAAGATTGAAAATGGGATACAGTGGTGCTTTAAGTAGGGGCAACAGAGTATGTTCCTTTACCCTTTCTCTCACTTGTTGTACATCAGCTTCCTCCCCTCTGTAAGTATATAAGAAAGTTTCATTTATCTTTTAAGGTGACTATTAGGGCTGAGATTTGATTCAGCAAGGGAATTTTAGGACTTTTTCTACCTCCCACTCTCATGACGAGATGAAAATGCCAGGTACATCTCTCTTTAAGTAACGGTGTGTCTGGTTTATGTTCTCCTCAGTCAGCAATTCTTCAATAATTTGGATGAATTGATACTTAGCCAGTTATTTTGACACACAGGGAAATGTGAAGTGTGTAAAACTGCTGCTATCAAAAGGAGCAAATTGGAAAGTGAAGGACAACAAAGGACGGTATGTATAATCTTCAGAACAGTCTGTGAATAATTCTGATTGCATCTGTCTTTGTCTTTCCTTAATGCACTTTTACAAATATGGTTAAATAGGTAGTCTGAAATAAGCCACTCTGGAAATTACTTTATAACAAATTGCTTCAGAGTTGCCAATCTTTTGAAAATATGGAATGTGAAGATGCTTGATTTTTGACAACAGTCTCCGCATTCCTTCCTCAAATTTTTGGTTTCAGTCTGATGGTCTCTTAGTGCATGAAACTTGAGATACAACCTTCCACCTTTAAAATCTATGTACTCTTCTGTTTCAATCTTTTCCATGAGTCTTAGTTGATGAGAGTCTGATTCTTCTAATTTCTTTTATTCCCAGTCATCATGATCTTGGGCTTGTTTTGTATTAGGCAAGAAAACCTTGTCCTGTAAGTGACTTTTGGGGGATAAAATGTGTAGTATTGGTCAACAAAACCTATGTTGGTTTGGTAATTTTGGTTTTATCAACTAAGATGTTAATGTAAAAAGGCCACCTGATGGCTGACATTTCGAGAATGGCTAAGGATGCCCAGGATATCAGCTTTGAAACTCTTTCTCTCACACTGCTGGTAGCCATGTCAAGCTGACTGCCGCAACCTGATCCTTATTGCAAATTCAAAGTTAATACAAGTAGCATACACTAAGACCGGAAATAACGAGAAAAGTTCTGGGCCAGTACTTTATACTGGTATTATATAAACATTAAAATCTTTGGGTGGTTGGGCGGGAAAGTCAGCAATGGTGGATGCAACAAAAACAACTGCCCGCCCCATAGGTCACATGACCTACACCCAGGCCCCAGCAGCATGTGAGAAAAACATTTTTCACTTATTTCGTTCCACTCAGCCAGTGAAAAATTACTCTTATAGTGGCCAAGTTTTTTTTTTTTTTTTCGTAATTTCTTTATAGTGGCCAAGTTACATTATCAACCAAAATTATCTTGTTATTCCTACCGATGCAGTGCAACAGTTTCTCTAGGCCACAGTTTCTCTAGAATCTTTCCCTCTTTATCCTATGTTAATTTGATTTATTAATATTGTTTTTTTTTTTGCTCACTTGCCTCCTAACCCTTTACGTCCCATGATCCAATTAGTATTTCACCCCTCTGACTGCCTTACAGTTTTTTGCAAGTTAGAGAGGAGAATTTGGTGTTATATCATGATAGCACCCTCCGGCTGATGAGTTTGTTTGTTCTCATTACCTGTTTGCAAGATATCATATAGATGGAAACACAAGGAAAAGTTAACATGTAAACCACTTGTGGGGGTTACAAGATTAAAACTGTTTAGAACCTACTGAATGATATCTTTGTCTGTCACTTTTTCAGGACGCCTCTACACTTTGCTACCAGCCATCAGTCTCCCAAGGTATGTCAACTGATTCTTGTCATTGCAATTTTTGTTGCTGCTGTTTCTGTTGTTGTTGTTGTTGTTGTTGTTTTTTTTAACTAACTGTTTAGATAATACTTTACATTGCAGGCACACACTAGTTTATATAATTTATTGTTAACTTGCTTTCTCTCTAATTTATTGTTAATTTATTGTTAACTCGCTTTCTTTCTAATCACTTTTCAGTGCTTAAGCATCTTGCTGAAGCGAGTTTCTAAAGGTGAAGCAGATGAGCCAGACAATGACGAGATGACATCTCTTCACTGGAGTGTGTCATATGGAAACGCTGAGCATGTCAAGCTATTGCTGAAGGCTGGGTGTTCTGTGACACAAACCGATTTGGAAAGTAAGTTCTAAAAAACACTGTTACAGGGTTTCAATTTTTTTACATACATACACACATACATACATACATACATACATACATACAT